CCCCCCTGCCTCTCCTGCCCACGGGTGCAGCATCCCAGGGTAAAATAATGAGACTTTTTGTTCCCATGTCAAACAGAGCACAATTTAGCAGCCAGGATGTGACCCATCCAGACCAGAACTATATAGATAAAATGCTATTATTATTTGTAGTAGTAGTATTAAAATGGCTCTAAAGACTGACTTATAACTGCCAGCGTATCTCCATCCAGCTGAGGTTACTGATTACCACCAAACCTGGGCATTCCCGTCCCCAGCTCGCCTTCCAAACCTGCAGGGACTGACATCTGTAAATATCTTGCAACCAAACCCCCCAGCCCCACCCTGGCCCGACCACATACCTATAAATAAAGAAAGGGCAGGCCAGGCTGAGGTGTGGTGCCTACTTTGAAGTGCGGTAATGAACTTCGCTTTTAATTTGGGGTTATAACTTCCATCCCGACGAAAAACTGGGAGCTGCGGAAATGCTGCATGCATAATAAGGGGTGAAAGCGAGGATGCAGTGCGAGATGTGTCTGATGTGGGATGAGAGGGAAGATAGCCTTTAATCATTTTGTTTTCAAAGAAGCTTTAGAGAGCTCTTTGAAGATGAGGCTTTTTTGAGAGCTGCTTCTGGAAAACAGGAAGCAGCGATACATGATGCCCACCTTCTGCCTACGTCCACCCACCCCCTCGATTAACCTGCGCGTGGGACACACATGTACACTGCAGGTGTCCCTGCCTTCAGCACGCGGCTACCCAGACTGGCACCCGCTAAACTGTTGCAAAGCTGAGCTGATCTCGTGCTGTCTGGGGAGGTGAGACCCGATGGCTTCAGGAAAAACTGCCCAGTGTCTTTTCATTTGAGGTAATCATGGCTCCCCAGCATGTGGAGGCAGGCAAGTAAGGGGACCAGCAGCTAGAATAGGAAGTCCAGCCCCCTTTTAATAATAATAGTATTCTTGTAATGATAATGTTCTGTAAATCATGTCTTACTGTTGTTGGATGAGAGGGAATGCTAATGAACAGCTGATCAGGCTTTATTTTAAAGTAAAGCATGGTAATGGAGAGGCGTGGAAGCTGTGCCTGTCCTGTAGTGCAGAATTTAGGGTGGGAGAAGGTGAGAGTCATGCATCACCCGCCCACTGCAGTCAGGCTGTATGGTTGTCTTGGTTTTGGCTAGGACAGAGTTAACTTTCTTCACAGTAGCTACTGCGAGGCTATGCTTTGGATTTGTGCTGAGGATAAGGCTGATCACATACTGAGGTTTACAGTTGCTGCCAGGACAGTCAAGGACTTTTCAGCTTCTCTGCTGTGCTAGTGTCTGCAGGGGCAGGAGAAGCTGGGAGGGAGCACAGCCCCAGTTACTAGCCTAGAATATGGCTTTAGAATTAGGACTGAGACTCAAATTGGCACCTCATGCCTGCTATATAGATGAAGGCTGGTCCAGAAGTTTGCTCTCTCTCTCTCTCCGGGTTGTCTCACTCTCTCAGTTGGCTCTCACTCTCTTGGACACTTGAGCTGTTATCTCTTTTCTAGGATTGCGGTTTTGGGACTCTCCCTGCTCCAGGATCATTAGCCGGGAACAGGCTGAGCCTTGGTCATTTGGTGGTGAGCAGTTGTGCTGTGTATCACTCAATTGTGTAGTTGTATATTTCTATATTATTACTACTATTATGATCATTATTATTTTGAGTTGTATTGAATTTCAGTTATTACATTGTTCTTATCTCAGTCCATGAGCCTTTTTTTCCCTTTACCCCTTTAATTCTGTCCCCCATCCCTGTGAGGGGGGTAGGGCCAGCGAGTGGTTGCGTGGTGTTAGCTGCTGCTAGCTGTGTGTGTTAAACCACGACAATGGTACCTACACAGGTGGCTTCTTTATGGGCTGGGATCCGGCACAGCAGCCTCATTCGCCTGTATCTGAAGGCACTTAGGGGTTGAACTTATCTGAACACCCCGGGCTGGGGAGGGTGCATGAGCTCTGCTCGCACTGATAGTGCACCTGGCTTTATTTTTTGAGGGCCAAGGTCAGGATGCTATTGCATTAAATGCATCATGTACAAAATAAGCACATGGCTTCTTGGCTCCAAAAATGTTACAGGCTGAGAGGAAAAAAGTCTTGAGGAATGGGTGCACCAGACATTCTATTTTTTCCTATTTTTACCAAGTGATTTGGCATCAGTCAGCCAAGCCAGCGAGCTGGGACACTGGTGGGCTGTGTTTTGTGCCTAAGCAACTGTGCTGAGCTTTTTTATTACTGGTCTTGTCAGTGGGTTTGTACAGCTAGGTATTCTTTCCTGTGTTTGTAAAGTAAGCATGTAACAGTATTTGAGGTTATTTACAGATGGCGCAGTGCCGTGACAAAAAAAGCCCTATGAAACAGCCAAAAGAAATTAATTACACCTGCCCCCCCCACGGCTCTGGGTGGAAGAGCTGGGCTCTGCCTCTGTGTGTGGCAGTATCCCCACCTACTGCTTCACCCACCAAGGTCCTTACATGCCCAGCCCACCTCCTTTCATTTTGTGAACTCAAACTGCGCAAAGAATGTCACATCTTGAGTTCTGGTCAGCATATGGCTCTAACAAATGCACTTTCCAGTCACTTCTGAAAAGGAAAAAAAGCAACTCCATATCCATGTCCCCAAATGTTTTCTGCAGCAATTTCCATTCTGTATGTGCAATCCCAAAACACTATTATTTTCAGACTGTGTGCCCATACCAGCACATTGAAGGTTAAATTTGAAAGGCCCAAAGAGGTGTGCTGTTTGCTGGGACCTGTCCTCTGTGCGTTAAAACCAAAATCACTTTCCTTTTTTCTGCCCTCCAGTCTGCAGCAGGTATTTAAAAAACTGGCCTTGTTTCGGAGATGTGAAGGCTTTGTGACAGGGACCACAGCTGGGGATGAAGCTAATAACACCTCACAAACACAGGCTGTTTAGGGATTAAATGTGGCATTGCTCAGTAAAAGCAAGGCAAATAACTTTGGTAAGTTTAGAGGCAGTGTGTTGGCCTCCTATTTTCACTTCTAAGTGATGCTAGGCTATTTTAGGCCAGGCCAAGCTTTGCCTTTTTAAAATTAGGTTTATTGCTATAGCTACATGGCTGTGTTATGTGTTAACATTTGATTTTCCTATCTAATGTAAGTGACTGAAATAAACAATCCGGATCTGATAGTCCCAGTGGGGGGGACTGACATTTTGATTCGGCTCAAAATCTGTGCCTTTGATGCTTCTTAGGCTCCAACACCTCACCCAGCACCAAGTGAGGAGTAAGGGCAGGAGGGGGTTGTTGCAGGGTGGGTCTACATTTGCCCACCTCCACCTAAGCCTCAATCTCACGCTGAAGTGCTCCGCAGAGATGCTGCCATCGCTGCATCGGGTTTAGCTGATGGATCTGAAAAGGGGCGTTAAAATGCCACTTAGGTATGAGTTTAATTAACAGAGCTTGCAAAGTCTCATTAGAAGGGATCTTGTGCCACCAAACCTGAAGAGCCCAGTGCTGCTGTGCCTGGGTTCCCCTCCACGTCATACCATCCCTGCTGAGCCTGTGCCTGGGAGACAAAACCAGCAAGGACGGGACAAAGAGGAGTATTTTACAGTGGGTTTGAGCATAGAAATGTCCCTGTGGTCCAGCCGGCCAGGATCATACCTTCTTGCTGCCTCCCTGCTTCTCATTCCTTCCCTGCACCATCACTCTTCTAATTTGAAAACAAGCCTCAACAACTGGAGTGCTTGGGGGGAGGGCTGAGGAGCTGGGAGCCCCCCTCCTCTGCCTCGCCCCAGCCCACAGCTCCGGGAAGCAGATGGTCCCTGCAGGGCTGGCAGCCCAGCGCCGGAGAGCTACCATGCGCCGTTGTCTGCCTCACTGCCTGTGAAAGCACCGCACTCCCACTCCCATCAATCAGACCAGACCAGGTGCCTGGAAGCATCTCTTGCCAATCGCCTTTTATTACCTTTAGAAAAAGCCAAGAAACCCAGAACAAGACAAAAACTGAGACCGTGTGAACATCATGCAATGGATTCACGTTAAAGCAGGCTGGTGGGGACAACCAAAAGCCGTCTTAGAGGAGAAGTATCACTTCACCCATGCCTGAGGGCCAGGTTGGGTGGGCTGTCACTGGTGGGGTTGGTGGCGACTGTTGTGAGTGATCAGACCAGTGCTGAAGCAGGAAATGGAAACACACTCGTGAGCCATCATCCCAGGTAACCCCAGATCTGATTCTGACCCAAATGCAGTTTCTGATGTGGTGCTGACAGTGAGAACTAGACCTCGCTCTTGTCATGGGTACATTCTGCCTGAGCAAAGTCTCTTTGGGAAGGAGCAGCACAATGAATACCATTACAAGGGGTTTTTAGTTCAATTATGTTACTTAGTGTGACTAGTACTCTGGTAGTCAATTAGAGGAGTGAATGTTATCCAGCATGAGTGAAGTTACCGCACTTTGCCCTTCAGTCTCGCTCAGTCATTTTCAAAATTCATAGCACAAACTAGAGCAATATTAGCTTCTCAAAAGAATGTGTTTTGGAGAGTTTCAGCTACCATGGAAATAACTTTGCATCTTGTCCATCATGTGGATGTGACAAAACACATGCCCTTATTTTCCTGAGGTATAGCCAACATTTGAGCTCATTACATTTAATGGAGTTGGGTCACCCATAAAGTTATTCATAAGGTATTTTCTGAGTGGTTTTCACCTTCTCTTTGAAAAAATAAATTATATCAGCATGTTCATGAGGTACAAATGGTGCTGGCATTTCAGCTGTTATTATGTTATTAACTTTTTTAACCTAATAATTTTCAATCAATAGTGAGAAGCAATTTTCACTCAATCCAGTGACCAGCGTTGGAGATTTTGCAAAGTGTTCTCATAGGGTTCACCTTGACAGACACCTAATTTCCTCCCAAATGGAAACATTACCCCCGACACTCCCATTGCAGTTACCAAGACTTTCCATTTCCCCTTCGGTTAGGATTTAATTTAGAAGGCAAAGACTTCCTAAGCTATGGAAGAGTAAAGATAGATGGTATGGGAGAAGAGCTGATGAAATGTAGTTGACTCCGGATCTGAAATATTTTATCCCTCCTCAATGTAGGTTAAATTATTCTTCACCTTTCCCACATCCATAATTGTCGCTGATCTTGGACCAACTCAAAACCCTACTACTGAGTTCAGTAGACTCAAAATTGCCACTAGAACTGGAAAAAGAAAAAAAAAAAAGAGATTTGTTAGTGTCCATATATAATATCCCAAGACTATACACAGCTATGAGATACAGCAAATTTAAAGAAAGGCAATTTTTTTCTCATCACTGAGTATTTATTATATATAACAAATACATGAAAAAGAAAAAACTATATTGTGTGATATAAATAGTTTATTTACATTACAGAAAAACATCAAGACAATGTATACTATTTCAAATATATCCATACATAATCAAATATAGCTGTAGTACATGTTCTCATTGGTGTAGATTACCACAAATGCAAGGCAACATGTGTAGATCTTGTCTTAATCTTTTGTCTATAATACTGTATTTTGTAGTCCAAGCTCTCTGCAGTTATTTTTGCCATTGTGGAAACATGCGCTCTTTAAATTAACCTTGTCGATGCTCTTGTCGTGTTGTCTGAACTGTAGTGCCCTGTGTTTTGCTTCTGTCTGTGGATTCTGTTGCTCCTGGGACATTTCCTAGAAAAGAGAGTTGTAAGAATACACAGCTCTTAACAACACATTTGCTTGAAAGGTGGCGTGGGCAGCGGGGTACGTGAGGGCGAGAGAGGCATCCTCTGGCCCTCAGCGTGTTTCCTCTTCAGTGAAATTAAATGGTATGGCAAACAGCAATGGTACCACAAAACACCCCAAAAACCCTAAAAAAAAGTGGCAAGGGAAATTTTAAGATTCCTGCTCCTTCCTGGTGAGCAGTGGTGACTCCACTGCGTTGCAACAGTCCCAACTGCAGCACGTCTCTCATCTTTAAATAACGGATTTATTTTCAGCAAGGCGCAGGTGGAAGATTTAGGACACCCTCACGCTCACCTGCTTGGCGTCCCAGGCCTGTGAAGTATTTACCAAGTGGACGTGTGGGCTGCCTTTCTGAGGAGCTGAGCGTCTGCAATCCCTATTAGTCTCCATGGAAATGCTCCATGCTCAGGTCATTAGTGAGCAGCTACTTTACTTACGGGTGCCTGCACCGCACTATGCTCCTCACACAGCTGCTTGGCTTAGCACAGAAAGCAATAACACTGGAAAAACCAAATCTTATTTTCCTTTGGATGGCTGCAAAAGTAAATTCCTTCTGCCTCAGGACCTCACGTTGTTCCTTGACAGGGGCACATTTCAACCTTCTTTTACCTGCAGCAGCGTTGGCTATGGGGATGCTACGAAGCATTTCCCGCTAATGGAAAGATAATAGCGTGTTTCTGTTTCCTCCCATGGAAAGGCACCCTTAGACAGACAGCACGGAGAAGCGTAGCCCCAGGTGGAGGCTGCAGGAAGTTCTAAGCAGCTGAAAGCCAAGGGGGTTACACCAGAAACTGCTGGGCAAGCAGAACCACAGCAGGGTGACCAACACCCTCTAAAAAACGCTCGTAGTTTTTTGTATTTGTGGTACCAGCAGGAAAATATTGAGCTACCGAAAAACAACCAGCAATAAGAACCGTCCTTTACCCAGAGTGATGTAGTTAACATTTGCACAGGGGAGGAACAAGCTATTCCTAATTTGGCCATGCATTTGTCCTCTTTCTTCAGCTGAAGCTCAGTACAAGTTTTTAGCCTGGGTGTGCCTCATTCTGCCCTCTGCGTGGGCAGCTGCACAAGACAGAACCACTTGGAGCAGCATAACAGAAAGCCCCACGATTCTCCAGACCATATTGATATGGAAAAAAAAAATCCCTTTGCATTGTGCTAACTCATTTTTCTGTTACAGGAAGGCTTTTGACAGCACCTCGTGAAACCCTATGGGTTATGCTCTGGGGAGAGCCCACCTTCAAAGTGCTTGCCTTCAGAACTGTGTCAAATAACCAACAGCAAGACAGAGTGAAATAAATTTTTACTGACCCCTTAAAATCAAAAGGACCAGGGTTTTTTTTCCCTGCTGAATGGGAGTGATGCTATAGGTCTGTGACGCCAACTGAGAGGCTAAACAAGAGCATAAGGACTTATGAAGCATTTCAAAATACTGAAATAGTTATATAAGTGTCTAACAAAATATGGGTCAGGTCGTCCTGATTCGCCTCACTTTTAAGCCACCAGGACCACCCCCCCATGAGAAGCTGTATGGCTGTGCACTATATTTTGCCTTGTTCTTTTCTTGGAAGCAGTGAAGTAGGCTGCTATCATTACTGCAGGAAAAAACAAGCTCACATCTCCAGCGCTCTCGGAGGTCACGGCAGAGCTTTCATTATGAAACTAATGCAGACTTTAGCTGGTTTGTGATTTCATGACAAACTCATTATTCACCGTGTGTTCCTAAAAAGGCGATCAAACTTTCTGAGTGAGTCAGGGAGTTGTTGTTGTTAGCAAACACAGGGCTGATTCATGGAGCTGCATGTCATGTGCACGCTGACAGGCTCCCAGCCCTGACTGTCCCCAGGCGGCTTCTCCTGCCCATTCAGCCGGAAATCACACAGCAGGACCTCGCAGCGCTCTGCGGGAGACGGCACCGACACCTTGACATGCTGAGACACAGCACTGCTAAGTCTGTGCTGGCGGCCGGCAGCCACGGGGGATGACCAGGCTACCAGGGCTTCCTCCCGAGTTCCCAAGGATGAGGAGGATTTACACCAGAAGGCACAGCCCTGCTTTGCCCCAGAGCCCAGCGAGGCGAGGAGGGTTGGGGAACCAGGCATGGGAAGCCACAGTGGGCACAGACAGACCGGTTTTGTGAGAAATGTGTCGTGCATTCCCGGAGAACGGTGGACACCGACTGCTCCTGAGGGGAACAAGAAGCTGAGCATCTCACAGGTGCTTTCACAGAACTAACACTGACAGTATCTGCCAGTCCGAGGGCAAGAGAAATTGATTCAAATGTAGAGATTACTCCAATTAAGATGACGAAAAAGCATCTTTTAACCAAAAATACCCACTTTTTAATTGCATAATACCAATTGATGGAAGGCTGGGAAGGCCCCAGGCCAAGCACTGACACCAGGACTGCTTAAATGCAATACCTTTGCCTTTACAGACAGGCTGTGTCTGAAGTGCCTCTGTGTTTCCTAAGAGGGGCGTTGGCATTTAACCAGCTTTTTAGACTTAATCATCTGCTAAAATTGAGTGACAGCTTCTCCTTGGTCCTTAACTCTTTAATCAAAAGTTCATTGTAGTGCTCTGTGTGGGGGATGCATTCATTTATGAACACAGCAGTTGTATCAATGTAAACTAGGTACTGGAGCACAGGCTGCCAGCTCTCCCTCCATTGAAGCTTTCTAGCAAGCTTGAGTTACTCCCAATGTGATTCATAGCAGGTAAAACACATTATGCATTCATTTTTAATCAAGTTATTTCTTCACATAAATAAGCTGCTGTGACTAAACATTAGGGAAGCACTAAAAATGCAAAGCTGTAAAGAAAACTGCTGAGAATCATGATGACACTAGGCCATATCTGTATTATTTACCACCCTCCTTCACTTTTATCATTGCTTCTCTTTTGCTTTACTTCTAAGCTAAAAGTCCTTGGCGTAGGGACTGTGCCTCACTGCTCCACCTCCTTCCTCTGCTCCCCTACTCCTCCACCCCAGCCGCTTTTTCCCATTCCTGGCACTAGCGATGAGTAACCAGGTGGCCAAACCTCATCAAGGAATCGAGCTGCTTAAAAACAAATAATGAGTTTGGTTGGTTGAGTTTTCAGCTGAATCCATCCCCTGAATGTGTTCGTTGTGTGGCTACAGAAATGCTAATGGTGGCACAAAGGCACTGGCAGGACCAAGTGCCCAGGAGCCAGGGGAAGGGGCAAGGGCAGACTGCCTCTGTCAGCAGCACAGCTTGTTCACTGAGATTGAAGTGTCTGTGCAACAAGGGCCCTAAAAGTGTCCAGGAATTGCTCAGAGCCTTCTAGCAATGGAAGACACCCTGTAAATTTGCACCACTGTACAGGTATGATTTTAAGAGCGACAACAGTAATGATAGTGAAAAGATTTACAGTGGTAGTCTTCTGCGGCTCAAATGCAGGGTTTGGACACAGTGCACCAAACTCATTTGATCAATTAATTAGGTGAAGCTGCACTGAAATGAGCAGCAAATAATTTGGCCACAGTGGCCTCTGAGTGAGTGAAATTTCCCTTCTTTCTCCCAGGAAACTGGTAGGGTGGTCTTAGCACTTTCAAGAGTTCAGGGTGTGGAGTTCAAACCAGTACAGTCAGGTTCTCCAAAGCAGATGACTTCAAAACCTCAATTACTTATGTATATGCTGCCACAATGCTCTCTTGTCATGTGGATTTCTCTTAGGCCACTTAAGAGTACACTTTTGCAAATGTATCTCAAATCACTATGCTGGGATGGAGGATGCTCTGCCGTAATTACATGCATTACAGAAAAGAAGTCAAAAGATCATAAATTAACTTAGTTACAAAGTGTGTGGGAAAAGGTACCGTCTATGTCTGAACACAGTGTGCTGGGTAATTTGCGTTACACTACCAGATCACTTAGAGCACACTGTCTTAATTCTTCAATACAAAGTACTCTGTGTTACTGCATCAAGGTGACAAAAATAGAGTCACTCGACAAAATGATACAGAGCATTTGTTCAATTATCAGTTACTACATCTTCTTTTTCTTACTACACACTACATTTTTGGTTGTTTGAATTACTTCTGAGTGTACCACCACAATCTACTACCTCATTTGGCATTTACCATTGACTTGATGGACTCAGCTTGGCCAAAAAAGCAGCTACCTTTCATCAGATGGTTTTGTTCTATGCCTTTAGGCCAGAGAAGGATTTATGGTGTTTTTTTTGTCCTTTCCAGGAACAAATGCTACACTTGTCTTCCAGCCAGGTAGTGCAACATATGGACTGAAATGTATTAGAGATTTTATTTTCTACAGAGGTACAATACCTGGCTCTTTTTTTTGTATTTTAAAAAGAAATTTTTTTCTAAAAGAGTGATTTATCAGTGTTGCTAGCTGAATTAATCTAACCTTGTGATTTCTGAGAGAAGCCTGAAGATGTCTTAGGTTCAGAACATACTCCAGGAGACAGCAGCACAGTTCAGTGGGGAAGTAGAGCAGCATGTGTAGGAGGGGAAGGATTATATTTACCCCTCTGGTTCTGATCTACCCTGGGGCTGTTGTTTCCATTCAACAACTGTTGCCTCCTCATTAAACAAAACAAAAAAAAAAATCATATATGGCTTGGTGCGCCACCACGTAGCGAAGACCTTAAACACATGTAGTACCTTTGAACATGTATACAAGCCTAATGAAATCATTTAATCAACAGGATTGCAAACAGGCTTAAAAGTTTGTATGCTTCGCCTGATTAGGACTAAGGGAATGGGCCCTTGAGGAAACCAGATGGAGATATGATTAGTTTTATTAAGTGTTGATCCAGCTGCTGTATTTATATTCCCCTTATTTATATGAACAATATTTGTCCAAGCATCTGAATACAAAATAAGAAATTTCATTTGCTGTAGGCACCGTTGCTACCTAAGTTTGATTAAGATGGAAGCAAAAATTCAGTCATAATAATGAAGCAGCACTGGCTGGCCGGACCAGACCATATCTTCTGTTTGTTGGCGAATTAAACGGCATTTGTTATCAGCAGTGTCACTGCACAAATCTTATCAGCGCACAAAGTAGGAAAAACAAAAGTCTTTTCTTTTTCTATTGCAAAGTACCAAAGATACTGACCTTGTAATACAGAGGACTACAACACAGATGATAGCAATCTGGATGGTTCCAATCACAGCTGCTATTAAGACATACTGAAATCGTACTGGACCTGGAACCACATATAAAACGCTGTAGTCCTTTTTTTCACAGTGTTGTCCAGTATATCCGGCATCACATCTGAAACAAAACATATTTTTTTCTGGTTATACCTGCTGCTTTCAAAGAATGCCAAAAAAAAAAAAAAAATCTGGAAAAAGCATAAGCTTATGGGGTTTTTTGCAGGATGGGCCCCCCCAGAGAAAGCACCAGTCCCTCCTCAACCTCTCAGAGGGAAGACTTCAGGTAATCAGTGTCACCAAGGTCTGCAGGAGTGAACGACACTGTGACAGTGCCAGGAGGTGCCCAGGGAACTGGGACTTTTCTAGCATCAAGTGGAACTACTTGCACGTTGCAATGAGAACCCATTTAGTTCCTTGCACAACATATTTCAGATTTCTCCCTTTCTCTGGGGAGGTTGGGGAGGTTGAAAAGCCATCTAGTCGTGGCTCCTTATGCAGATTACCCCTAAGGAGGTGATAAGCAATCATCCAAACTCCATATGAAATGTGATTAGATGTTCCTGCAAGTAGATAGATCATTTACATTCTGTCTGGTTGCTATAAAAATCCCTCTGTTGATGCTGCAACCATCCACCCCAATGCCACCTGCTGTGCTGCTCATCAGTTCCCATCCTGGAGCCTGACATCTCCCCTGTGTGATTTTGGGGGAAAAAAAAACCTGTGGTTTTCCCATTTTAGCTCTTGCCCAATTTCCCCTAAAAACCCCAAGCAAGAAGATGCAAAAATTGAGGTCAATGGTAGCAGCAACGATAAGAGACCAAGCCAGATTGCTTGGGTTCCTCTTAGAAGTGTCAGTGGCACAATAACCCCAATGAGTTGAGCCTTAAGCTCTCACTATTCTCTTCTCCTGCATTCCCACAGCTTGAGGAAAGGAGATTTTCCAGCTGAATTGAGAACCTAAAATGCAGCAGCTGCAAAGAGCAAAATGTGCCCTGCCTGTTTGTGGGAGCTGGTCTGTATTTTTGCTCTCCCAGTCCAATGTCCCAGGAAAATGGTGTTTCATGGGTAATTGTCCTTTTCTTTGCCACCAGGCCACTGGTTGGACTTCAGAAGTAACATCCCCACCTCTGCAGGGAGGTATTCGATGGAGAAACGTGTGCTTTCACTATTCCTCCTCCTCCCTGCCCTAACCTCCTCCAAAGCCAACTCACACACGAAGGAGGCACCTTCTCCCCAGCTTGCTGCCCCACGAGCATCACTCCTGCCACAGCAGGGACACATCCCTGGCAGCACTCCTCTGCTTCAGACAGAGGAGGCTACCTAGCAGCTGTCCGAGCACTTTGTGAAGTGCTTTCTAAAATATATCTAAATATAACTGAAGGTTACTGAATGTTTTTACAATCAGTTAACATTGTGCATAACTCAATACACTTTTGCCACATAAAATAGGGACTTTGTTGAATAATTTAAGTCTAATGGGTTTTGTAGCACAAGGGGCTGTGGTTACCATTATTTTCCATAGTTTAGAGTAAGTGTTTTTGCAAGTCAGTATTGTTATGTGTGTAGCCTTTCCTCCTTGGTAGGAGAAGGGTTACCTGCAAGACGGTTCCAGCATGTTAGTGGAGTGCTCGCACTTGCCATGCATGCAGAAGCCATTGTAATGCTCTGGACAAGGGATGTAGATCCCTCTTGCACTTTCTTCCAGTTTATTTGCATTCTCTGTGAACACAGGTGAAGGGAACATTTACCTGACAATGCAGGATAAGGTGAAACGATGGAAAGAACTCAACATATAAAAGAAAGGAAAATCCAAGATGTGAAAGATGCTGTTTATGGGAAGCAAGAGCAAGGGTTTGCACCTTGAAACAGGTAGGCCGATGTAGATGCAAAGCTTTGCAAGGTCTTTTGTGATCTTTTGCATATCTAATTCCTTTCAAGTTACAGCAAATGAGACACCGGAAAAAATAATTTTACTATTCAAAAACCTGATTACAGAATAGCACATGAAAAAATGCCTGATCATTTCTGTTATCTTCTGCGGGCTATCTCCTCACACCCAGGCAAGGCTAGGAGGAAGACTCTGGACATTACAATATATTTGATCATTCAATACAACATATTCAGAAAGATAATTTTATGGCTGAAGTAGAGGAGCAGGAGTCCAGAGCTGACGTTTATCATCAGTGCTGCATCCCCGTGCCCCAGAGCCTGCTGGCCTCCTCCCCATCACCCAGCACGGGTACCTTTGAACTAGTTTGACTTTCTGTGCCTACTTCTGCAGCCGTTAAACAGTCACTGAGACTGCAAGCCCTGGAAAATGCTTCCCTCCATGCAGCCAGGAAAATGGAGGCTTCATTTTGTTTTGAAACAGGTATGTGCTCAACGTTTACATCATGGGCTCAAATGCAGTGTGTTACTGCAATAAACTCATGAATTTTGTACTCCACCAAAGTGTTAATTAATCTGAGTGATTTTAGCAAATTCTTCCATTTAACCAATACTTGTGATACCTCAAATGGTAAAAATCCTTTTTCTTGTGATACTATAATCTAGGCACAATTAATTAAAAACAGAAAAAAAAATCTCATGATAGATGTCTGAAGAAATGTAGTTTGCACACAAATAAGTTGAAGCATTTGTATCTTCCAAAGGAAGTCCCTGAGTGTTATGAAACAACTGCAATTTATGTTCTGCCTCCAAGCCAGTCGCGCTGGCAGTAGGTATGCTTAGGTATTATCCCACCTTTGGGAAAAGTGTGTGCAGCAGATCCAAGATTCAGATTTTCATAATGAATTTATTTCCTATCACGGCTGTCCAAAGAGAGTTTTAAGAGTCTCTAACAACTTGCACTATTCAAACTGGTTATCTTGTCCTTATGTTAAAACAGGCGAAGACAAGCTCCCAGCAAACAAGAATGACAGGGCAACAACCTCTACACACCTGTAGAGAGCATTAACTTCTCTGCCATCGTGAGGACTTTCAGGACCTCTGCACTATGGACCATTATTCCATCTTTTTAAACGCACATGTACTGAACACAAACCTGACTGCCTCTCCTGGTTCCCTGCTTACACTGGGATATCAGTGTGCGGCTGCCATGAAGGCTGTTAATGGCAACACAGCGCAGAACTGGGCAACACGGTGCAGTGACGATTCCGGGGCTTGGGGCTGACAACTGTCTCTGGGACGGCACAGACAGGATGGGCTGACAGGAGGCCAGGAGTTTCTACTACTGGAAAGAGGTAGGAAGCAGAAGGTCCATTTGGTCAGGCACTAAATATTTTTGGCTACCTATCACCCTCTTGGTGAGGCACTGGCTATCAGCATGTGACATATATACACAGGGAGTTATCATCCCACCAGGAATTAATGTGTGTTCCTTTTTTTTTAACCTGGAAATCTTCCCAGAACAAATGTGTGTGATGTGCATCATCTATGAATGGACTTGCCCAGTGCACACACATAGATCCCAATGTGCTCAGGACTTGTTGGACTCTATACCCATGTAGTGATCACCTATGCACCATGTCCAGTGGTTTCTGAGTGTGCTAGACCTCTGCTATGGCCCACATTCAAAAATATTTTTGTCCAGGAAACTGCAGCGAGAAATATGGGATCCCAATTAACACACATTGATTTTTATTGTGGAAAATATTATGCCATTTCCTTCAAATCTTCCCTTATCAAGAGAAAGTTTGCTTCCCTTCTGAAAAACAGGAGACTGCTCTCTGCACACATGTGTATTTGCGTGTGTATCTCTGATCCTTCCTACTCAGGTACCAACATATCTCCGTGATGTCCACGCACCACCACTAACCAGTGTGAGAATCCCTCCTCTCTCAGATGAGCCAGCAGTGTTGCTAAAACGGTAGGACACCATTTGGTTTCTTTTTTTTTTAAAGGCACGCTTCAAGATGGTGAAGGAAATTGTTACTTTCAGGACAGACTAATCTGCTAGGACTTGAAAGGGGCACCAGGACCCCTCCCAGACTTGCAGATGCTCTCACTCTGTGTAGGCTGTAGGGCTCGTAAAAAGAGGAACGATTTTTCCTTCTCCTGCAATCATGTGGGTAGAAACCATATTTTATTGAAAAAGGTCTCTAGCATACTTTAAAGTAAATCTAGGATCCTGCAGTACTCGTAATTACAGCTCTAAGTGTAACATTATGATGGAAATGCTTTACTGAATCAAAAATGAGATGGCCCAAGCTTCGCTAGCACTTCATAAACACTTCATGCGGGAACACTTGTCATTTGGCTAGGAAGAGACCACAGAACTTACACATGAATTGTCTGTAGTCCCTTATTTGGAACTCCAATAAAGTTAGGGATTGAACATAAAGGAAAAGGGGGAAAAAACTTGTATTTCATTTGATCTGCCATTTTCATTGCTTGAAAGACAGACCACAATGAAAGCATCATTTAACTTCAGACAAAGAAGTTCCCCTCCTCTTCCAGCACATTTTGAATTCACCCAAAATAATTCCTCTGCCTCAAAACAGGTTATTTTTGTCATTACACAAAACAGAGACCCAAACACCAAGATATGCTTTAAAATTCCTTCATGTTAAAACTGGCTGCTCTCATTCCTGAAGGACCTGAGCACTTTTCAGTAATCCAACCATCAACGAGACACTAGCGGTCTGAGTGCATCACAGGGTTTACATCACTATGAAACAAGAGCTATAAATCATTTCTAAAAAGAGAGGATATGAATAAAAATGTTTCAATTATGAATCAAATAAGAACTGTACAACATTCAAAAATGTAAAACCAAATGAAATAAATTGAGACCTCCCCCCTTATTATAATTTTGGGTTATTTATAAATTCAGCACTGGTGGCACTCGGCACTGATCAGATCGTAGTACCACTAAACTAAGGAGGCCCTCTACGACACCAACCTTACACCTACAGAGAGCAAAGATTAAATACAAAGTTACCCCCTTTTTTTCCAAGCATCAGATCAGTATTCAAAAAGCAGTGACACAGACCAAATTCAAAGTTAGTCAGGTTTCAGTCATGTTAAATTCAGTAGCTCCTCTTCAAACATTAGACTTGCTGCATTGTTATTGGCAAGTATGTGTAAAAGTTTAATTTTCACCAAAAGGACAGATTTGTGCCTTTTGTGATGGCTAGAATTTGAGACAGAAGCTGCAAAGCCTAAAGATAAAAATTGGACTCACTGGGTCAGTCTCTCCTATCTCTGGACAAATGTAATTCCTGCCACATTTCTCAGAATGTTTCTCCTTTTATTGATCTCACCCTCCAGATCAACTGTATTCTGAAGCCTTTTTCTTGAAGCATTTTTCTGATAAAAAACATCACTTTGATGAAGCCAACATCTTTTCCATTTCTGCAACGTTTTGCATCTTTAGCCTAACATGACATTTCATATTGTTCACATCTTTTGTTAGTGCCAGAACATGACATGATAGCCTATCGTATAAGATACACCAGTCAAAACAGATTATTTTTAAATGCATTGAGGCCAGATGCTACTTTGTGTACACTGAAACAGCTTATCATCTTGCTTCCTAGAAGAGCCTCCCAGTTGAACACTTGCTCTCCGACCTTTCAGAGTATGGCAGGGAGATGCTGAGGTGATAAGCTATTTTGCTGGGGTAAGAATTTGGATCCTGAAAGTTAACCAGTGTGACTGACCACCCATTCAGTAATGTTTCCTCTTCCTGATGGATTATCTTCTGAAATGTTAAATACATTATTTAAAGCTATCTTGTCTAAATTCCTTCACATCTATGGCTGTTCCATTTAGAAGCAGCAGAAGAATTATTTCAAATATATTTTTTATTATTTTTATTTTACTTTCTGGTTTATGCCTTTTCTTCAGTTTTTAGAAGCTGAATGTGCACCTTTAGGATTCTCAGGTAAACATCTCGGTGAAGGCTGAAGTTCAAAAGCCTGATGGGTTGCAGGACCCAGCTCTGCATGTGATGAGAACAACACAGCCAGTTCTTCTCTGGGCAGCCCTCACTGGTCTCCAGCTCCCATCGGAGCTACTGTGGAGTTTCTGTTACACAACTGAACATGTGGAGTAGCTCTGCTGACAAACGAACAAATCCATTAGTGCCCTTGATGAGGATTATATGAAGTACTGCCTGGAGTGCCCAGAAAATTCTTTCCAGACGCAAGTAAGTTCCTGCAATCCACTTTGGAGAAATTAAATAAAAATGTAGGCAAAAATAGGATTCTTATGCCCAAAATTGGCTGCCAGGCACTTAACAATCAGTTCTGCAGGGCTGATAATTCTTTCATTCTTTACATTTGAAGCAGTCAGATTTTCTAGGTGATTTCAGGCAAGCAAAGTAGAGAGCCGCAGCTTGGAAATTTGCATGTTAGCATTTTCATTGTTGAACACTGCATAATGTTGGAGCTTATGGAAATAATAACTGTCCATATGAGAAAATATTGGCTCACATACAGTGTTAATATCTTGTGTACAGTCACCACTAGGCTGAGGGAGGTCCTGCAAATACATATATATATATATATATATATATACACACACACATATATTTCACCAAATAAAGGATGGGATCGTGAATGGTGTGCAGCGAAAGCTATTTTGACACCTATCTCATTGGAAACAGTGGTTAAGGAGAACTGACATAATTTAATCTTTTAATACTGCAGAGGTTAGTCAACTTTGCAGCTGAAAGCTCTCGCTGATATTGAGGTACTGACTCCTTACACACCACATTTTCAGAGGATTTATGAAGGGGGAAAAGGATTCTTCAGTCAAATGTATGTCCTTAACCTTCTAAGCACCTTTTGGAAGTGTGTCCCCCCCAAATCCTTTTACCTCCTTGGCAGCTCTCCCAAAGATATGCTGCAGAGGATAGCATTGGGAACTTACTTAACAAAGCTCTTTTGCTCTGCATGATAGAGACTTGGTGTGGCAGTTCTTGAAATAAAAATAAAGGTCCGGAGCATATCAACCCATGGAGCAAAGGGTACAGGATGCCCTGAGTTTTGTGGAAGAGCTTCAGTGATTGACTAGGGGTGAGAATCTGAATCCTGTGGACGAGCCTGGGGACAGTCTATGTTACTCATCTGCAGTCTTCACAGAGTCAGCAACTGCTGCTCTTTTTGGGGAAGAGGGAGCTTCTTCAGCCCAGCAACATTTGCAGCACCTGCAGAGGTTTGAAGGTCCCTCTGCAAAGTCGAGAGGAACAGGGTGGTAATGGTGTTGCTCTCTCTGAAAGCACAGAATTGCTTTAGCAGGTTCTCTGGTATTTCTCCTCCTCTCATAGCACATAACAAGAATTGAGGTCTCACAGCAACTTATGAGGATGAAGTCCTTGAGCAGGCTTCTTACTTAGTTGTAATGAAGAACCATGTTGATAATTACCAGCTCAGACCCAGCTCTGATGAGAGAAAAGAGATTCCTCCCAAGTCTTTGCTCAAAAGCTCCCGACACCCTGCCCTTGACAAAGCTGCCAGGAGCCATGCTGCCATCCACCACCACAGCTATACCTCGTCATTAACAGCTGCTCAGAGCTGACCCATTAATTATCTTGACACATTATGTTCCCTTCTTTTAAAACCTTTAAAAGCTCTTAGGAATATAGTCTCTCTGTCTAATGAAGAAAATGTTTGCAATGAACTTGCCTGAAGATCACTGTTTGCGAGGGCGTTGGAGTGAAAATTCCTAAGGAAGTGCTTGGTGCCGCTCAAGAGGGAGCTCACCAGCCCACTCTCCCCAAGAGCAAGTGGAAAGTGAGACACCAAATGTCAGCTGAAAACGTCTGGCACTGCTATGCTGCAGTCCTAGTGGAAATTCATCCTGTAGCCACTCCGAGTACAAACCTCAAGCCAGTCTTTCTACATAAACTGCACAAAAAAATACTATCCCCATATTAGCTACTTTGCCAAGAGGAAAAAAAGAAATGGAACTTTGTGAATTAAATTATATTTACTTCTTTTCTCAGGCACAAAACAGGCTTGCTCAGCACGGTAATTTATTAATTTTAAATGTCCCTAT